GGCCGGGGGCAAAAGGCCCGGCCTGACTGGGTCCCGCGCCAGGGCTGCCCTGTGCTTGCAGGGCATGGCGGGAATGGCACAGGGACCGGGAGACCCTGAAGAGTCTGATGAGCTTTCCCTCCCGGGGCGGGGGATGTGCAATACCGGGCGTTGTGTAGCAGACAGAACTGCAGGCCTGTGTCGATAAAGTCGAGCATTTTTTAATTGCTCTTCTAACTATGCAGTTTATTTGCTTCCTTAGTATGTGCTTGCAGCAGCTGTGCAGATCCCCTGCCGTTTTACCTTTTTTTTCGTTTTCTTTTTAACAGAACTTCCCATCTTAAAGTATCTTGCTGCTTCTTTTAGACCAGAGAAGAAGACAAAAATCAAGATGGCAAAATGGATCTGTTGCATTTTAAGCTGGAGCTGCCACTGCAGCCCACAGAGCACGTTGTTGGTGTTCAGCTGATTCTGCTCTTTTCTTACCAGCTTTATGTGAGCATTTTTAGTTCTATTTTTTGTGACATACAGACTCTATGTAATGTTCCAGCAGTCTTTGTGCCAAGGATGAAAGAACCTTTCCACAACTGAAATTCCTAGCTAAAAGATTTATTTTACTAACAAATATTTAATTTTTTCCTCCTCTGCTGGGTCATTCCTAGTGGAGCTCTGCATGTTCTGATATGTTTAGTTAGGTGGGTGTTATTTCTTTTTTTTTTTTTTTTTTAATCTCTTGGGCTATAGTACAGCACAGAGGACAGAGACCCACAGCAGTGGATATCAGGTAGCATCAGGAAAGAATGGAGTGTCTTGCAGTAAACAGAAGGATGTGCAGTCTTACTGCTGTATCTGGATGTAACCAGTCAGTTTCCTGAGGTGGAGTGGCAGGCTGTTGCTGCAGCCTGAAACTCCATAGCTAATGGTAATCATCTGCCAGGGTCCTGCATATCTGGTAACTGAGAAGGCGAAGAAGATGTTATTGGGAGACAGGAATTGCTGCTGTATCTCAGGTGCTGTGTAATTAATACCTAAAGCAGTGAGTCAAACACTTGTGCACAGGGAACCCACGGGTGCATCTGAAAGGAGCAGAAGTGTAGAGCTGCATTGGGTGCAGCCCCACAGAGAAGTTTTTTTACTAGGGAGATGAGGCTTGGTTTATCCAAGAGACTTGCTGATTGTGGATGGACCAGCTTAGCATTATTAGGCCCAGGGTAAAGGTCTGATAGTGCTTAAGTATTAAATCAGTGATTAGTATCACAGAGAGCTGATGCTCACACCACCCTTGTTTTACACTAAATGTGAAAATTTTCCTTCTGAGAGGCTGATAAGGGCTAAGGAACTTCCTTGTTTGGTCCTTACCACAGAGCAGGAGTCCTTAGCTGTCTTTGGCTGCTGAGTGATTTGAAGTATGTCTTCAATGAATGTGTTTAGTCATCTTCCTGCTTTTTTCATGTTACAACAAGTCAGATCTTCCTGTCATTAGCCACTGACTGTTGGACCTCACTGAATTTGCTATGGAACTTTGGTATATAATATTAGCTAACTAACAACTAAAGTAGTTCACTTAAAAAAAGTTTATTTGGTGTTCCCTTGTTTAGACTAAATGTGACAATCTGAACCTGGGGAGTCAGAAAAATGATCAAATTCATGCAGAAAATCTGTAGATACAAAAAAGAGAAGTATGTTGTTTCCCTCAGTGCCCTACTCCTAAATTCTCTGTTCTCATATTCACTATTTCAGAGAATGTCAACACTTGTGATGCAGAGCATGGCTTTTCTCCAGTTTTTTTCTCCTGTGCCAGGGTCTCAGCTGTATATGAATGGAGATCTGAAACTGCACCAGAGGCAATTACTTAACCATTGTGGACTGGATAACAGATACAATGTGAGGAAATTTTTTTTTTTTCCCCCTAGATTTGTAAGGGGCACCAGAGGCAATTACTTAACCATTGTGGACTGGATAACAGATACAATGTGAGGAAATTTTTTTTTTTTCCCCCTAGAACTTTGGAAGGGGTTATTCTGCCAGGATGCTCGGTCTGATGCTTATGTGCATTCCTGGAGGGACATGGTTACTTTGTGTAAGAAACTGAGTAGAATTACTTTCTTGAAGAGTGGGCAAATAAAGCAAGTATCTCCTTGTTGCAACAGGTGTCTGTGGTCAATGGTTCAAGTCCCTTTGCTGGTGACTATGATCTAACAAACATCATTGCAGCATATTGGGATAGAAATGGTAAGCCAGGGCATATGCCTGCAAGTTACAGGACAGCAGCATTTGCATACTGGCAGCTGTTCTGTGAGGATTTGAGTTCTGTGTTAAGACTGAAATGCCCCTTAACCTGGATGTTTCCTTTCCTCATTGTAGTGACAACGGTCTTTTCAGATCCCAACCCTGTTTGGATGACTGGAAGAGCAGCAGATACACCATTTATCATTAATGCCACTATTCATTACCCACTAGAAGTCATCTTATATCCTTTGAAAACCACATAAATTGTAATGTAACTGAGTTGCATTATTTGGGCCTTCAGATACAGGCCAAATGAAACCTGTTTTATTCTGGACTTGTTGCTAAACTTCTTATTTGTTAGCTAAGCAAATGTTGTAGTTCTGCAGTTAACTGAATACCTGTTTGCTTGTTCCTCCAGATGGTTCTCTTTGCATAACCACTTTTTGCCTTTCTCTACTGGGAAGCTGGGTTGCTTTTCAGCCTTACTAAACTGGCCTTCAAGGCAGTTCCTTGGCCATTCACAGTGAATATCTTTGGCAAGTCTGTCTTCCCTCCTACAGCACCTGCTGTCCCAATCTGTTATTGCCACTAACAAAGCATGGTACTATGTTCTGTTGCCTAAAACAAATAATTAGAAATCTGTATGTAAGATAAAAAAATAATAATCCCTGCAGTGGATGTGCCAAACAAGTAGAAAATAATAATTAATTAATTGGGATTTTTACTTGTTTTCTTAGGCAAGAACAAGCTTGTTTTTAAAAGGATCTGTATGAAGCACATTTCTTTTTGTGGTTTGTTCACCTGTCTGAGTAATACCAATAATTACCTTCTGGTGAGCCAGGGACAAAGTAGGCACTTTCCACAGAACTCACTTAAATGCTTCTAGGATAGACATTCTCTGCAGCTTTTGTAACATGCTACAGTAAAAAGCTTTTAGGGGTTTCCATGCCTCAAAGACTTTGCATTTACTACACAAACTGAGGTCTAATGAGTTTGTGCCTTTTGAGTTTGTTTAGTTACTGCAGTGGCAGTATCAGAAGCTTCTTCATTAACACTCCTTGACTTTGTTTAAATATCAGCCAGGATTTTGGGAAATGATTAAATTTGCCTGGATCCAGTATGTCAGCATTCTCCTTATCTTTCTTTGGGTGTTCGGTAGGATTAAAATGTTCATGTTCCAGAATCAGGTGTTGACAACAACTCCAATATCACCAGTTCTGCCAGTGTCTCCAGTACTGTCCTACAAGCAGCACCAGTCCTGAAGAAATGCCTGAAAACACTTTAAAGAAATGCAGTTCAAAAATAGATACCAGATTTTATTCTTTTTACTTCGGAAGTAAGTAGGTTCTGTTTGTGCTTCCTTTTGAAAATACGTGTTCACTCACCTGTTTCTCTGGGAGCACTGCTTTGGGACTGAACATTTTAATTTTTTTCACAGTTAAAGAACCACCTAGTTTTGTTTTTTCTGCAACTGGAACACACTTCAAAAACCAGCAGAAAGCAATATGGCTACTTTTGCATGGTCTTAGTTTTGCTAAACCTTGAAGTCTGAAAATAATGTGTTAATGGTAACGACATAAGCCATTTTTACTGTCTTGTAAAATAATTCACTATTGAGTTTGAGTTCTGTCAAGAGCTATTTTTACATGCATTTACGTGCATTTCAAAAGGGAAAATATAAGGAATGGGAAAAAATGCATGGAAGAGTTAAAGTCAGACCCACACAGAGCTATACATGCTCTCAGATTTTAGTTATTAAAATGGATAATGTGTAAATTCAAGGTTGATGTGAGCAACTGGGTTGTGGGCAATAGTGCCTGCAAGGTTTGCCTAGTCACTTACTATTGGCATTATCACTGTACCACTAGACCATTAAGTGTGAATTGGGAATAGTAAAACAGAGAAGCCTGACATTTATTTAAAGAAAACTAACAAAAAATCCCAAGAGAAGCTTCAGGGTTTCAAAGCAAGTGAATATTATTTTCAGAATGTAAGTGATAACCTAGAACAGATAAAAAATAAATCAACTTGATGAGTACTGAAGCACTGTGTCTCTGACTCTTGATGGGGCTGGTGATGGTAGGGAGGATTGTTTAATTTTATGTTATTTTCCTGGGCTTACTTTATATGCCAACCAAACTTAAAAGGGAAAACAACAATATTTCAGTTGTTTCCAGTTTTGTAGTTGTGATTTAATTCTAGCAAGGCTGTGTTAATGGCAGGAGACAGTCTGAAACAATTCTAGATGCTAGTTAACAAAACCGAGTGTCTTTGGTTCTCTTGAACTCTTAAAACACGGTGCAGCTATGAAAGAGCAGCTTGTGCAGCAGTACCCTGTTTTTGGCCTTTGTCCTCTAGAATTCAACATCCTGGCAGTTTGGAGACCTGCCTATTCCTTTTTCTTTTCTCCTTCTCAAAACAGCTACCTTGTTTTTGAACTTCTGTTTAAGTCTGTTTTAAACTCTGTAGTCCTGACCCAGGCCTTTCTCCCAGCTCTTACGTGATGAATGGTCTCCAGCCTATTCTTCAATGCAAGTGAAACATTGACGTGGTGAGCTATGTCTTGGTTATTCACCACACTTTTGTGCTTGTGAAACTTGTGTACTTCTGCATGAGTTCATTCAAGGAGTTGATTATGGTGAAGGTAATCTTTACCAAATGTGCTCAGTTTTTCAGACGAGTTTCCTGAATGAATTTGCTATGTGTCTGCACAAGCATTTAGGGTGGGCATAAGCAAGGAGCAGCAATCTCTGCAGAGACCACAGAATGCCATTTTAAGGGTTTGAGCTCTTGTACACCCACAAAAATGGAATGCTGAACAGAAGCCTGTTGGAGGTAGCAACTGGAATGTGAAAGAGGATAATGCCAGAAAACAATAATACTGGGAGAGTCCATTATCCATCTCTCACTTTTCTCTCCTATTGTATCCTTCCACATTAAGTTATGACAAATGACACTGCTCAGAGCAACAGTTCAGTGAATGCATGTGAGATAAGAAATGGTGACTAGGTCTGGTTCAGGAAGTACAGAGAAAAATATCCCTATGTTCTATTTTCCTCTAGAAGGAGAAAGCTGGAAAAAAATCCTCTACAGTAAGTTAAGCTATATAAGTTAAAAGAAGGAAATTAAAATGAATTAACTGTTGGTAGTTTGTAGGATGTGACACAATCCCTCTATTTCTTTTGAAACAGGTCTGTTTCAGGGCTAGGACCAAGCAGTGAATGCAGCATAAAAGGACCAGTAAAGGCAGGTGTGACTACAGCAGGGAGGAAAAACCCTGTTTGTGTTACCTCTGCTGTGGTAAACTTTCTGGATCACTCTTTTACAGACTGTAGTTCTTAGTTCATAGTTCTGATTCCTTTCTCAAGCTCGGAGAGGCATCCTACTTCTGTAAGTAACTAAGCAATAGAAAAAAGGTAGGTAAGATTTTACAGCTGTAGCAACAAACTGAAGTACAAAGAAAAATACGCCCAAGAATCTAATGTAACTAGCATTAAAGGAGCTTCAGGAGGGAAGAGCCTTGGAAGGCTGTCTGTGAGCACTCTTTCTTTATAGGTTGCTACGCAACAGAAAATGAAGAGGCAAATAGAAGTAGCCCTGCAATCCACCACAGTGCTGGTGCACAGGTCTGTGTACATGTGCCAGGGAGCAGTCTAAACACTTAATTGAGGAAGGGCACAGAGGTATGTCAGGATTCATTAGATTTCTGTAAGTGGCTCTTCAAGTGGGTGATTGAAAGTCCTATCTTTAAGTAAAAGTGGGAAGGTGGGTGCGTAAGAGCCGTGCTTCAGGAGTTTCTTAAGGGCTGAAAAGAAATGCATGAAAGAAATCACATCTGTCCCTCTTTCTCAAGCAGCCTGTGTGTAGGAAGAACCTTTAGGCTCTCGCTCGGGGCAGGCGGGAGGCAGCGGGGCCGGGCCCTGCGGGGCCGGAGCGGGAGGAGGGGGCGGCTGGGGCGTGGGGCGAAGGAAGGAGGGTCCGTGGGACGGCGGGGACCCCTGGGACGAGGGAGGGCCCGTGGGACGGCGCCGGGCGCTGGGAGAGGCAGCGGGACCCCCGGGCGGGCGGCTCTGCGCGGGGATGCTCCCCGGGCGGGGCGGGTTGGCTCCTTCCCGGGCTCCTCCCTC